ATAGATAGATAGATAACATAGATGATAGATAGATAGATAGATAGATAGATAGATAGATAGATGATAGATAGATAGATAAAGAGGCAGTTTGGTCTAGCGGTTAAGGCACCAGGTTAGAAAGCGCAAGGCCGGGAATTCAACTGCCACCGTAGCCATAAAAGCCAGTGGGGTGACTTTAGCCAATCCCCAGGAGGTGTTGAGTTCTAATCCCACCTTAACTGTTACAACCAGATAGAAATTTACCTGCCACCCATCTCTTCTCCAGGCCCCTTGCAAGGGAGGGATACCCGTGCCTGGCTCTGCTCAGCCTAGCAGGTGCGTCTCTCTTGCCGTAGCCCCAGGGCGAGCGCCCACGCCGGCCTTTTCAACCGCTTGTCTGTCAAGACTCGCACGCCCAGAGCGAACCTCCGGCAAGGAGACGGCGGCCTTTGATCTCCTTCCTTGAGTTGGGGAAGGGGGCGATCCTTGCCGTGGGCCTGGGAGGAAGGTCGAGGTGCCTGGTGTGTGTGTGTGTGTGTGTGTGTGTGTGTGTGTGTGTGTGTGCGCGCAGTTGAGCCGGGCACAGCTTAATGCCAAGTAGATAAATGGCATTCTACCATCCATGTCTTCCTAGCTGCCGGGCAACCTCACAATGCCAGGCTGGAGCCCGGCCACCTGGCTGCCGGGCGCTTCCGTTTCCTCTGCGTCCACCTTGCCAGGCGCCCTGGAGACGTCCTTCGCTGGAGCTCCCCTTTCTTCGGGCTTCCTGGCCCTTGGCATCGCCCCCCCCCCTCCCTGTCCTTTCCCCCCCACCCCCCGCTTCCCAAAACTGCACTTGGAATTAAGATGTTTTAACATGTTGGTTTTTTAAAAATGTTCCGATGCGTTTTGTTGCGTTTAACGTATTTTTTTTTTAATGTTAAGGATATGTGAAATATATAGCATTATAAGTGATGCTCGCGCAGGCTTGTCTGGGATGCAACGCATTTTCTCCACGGCCTGTTTTCCTTGGTGCCTTCTTGGGGGGGTCTTCAAGGTACCCAAAGCAAAACATCCAGATCTGGCCACAGTTTTCTTCCATAAAGTGTCTGTCTTGTGAAGCTGTGTATTCAAGCAGTCTTTGTGCTATGTATTCAAAATGGACAGTGATATATATATATATATGTGCGTGTGTGTCTGTCCCTCCCTCTGTGTCCATCCAGGCGCTGTGTGAAGTCCCTCCCTCCCTCTCTCCCTCTCCCGGATGGGTTTGTCGAGGTCACAATGAAAGTTGGACATGGCTGCCCTGCCAGCTGTTAGAAGCAGCCATGTCGGTTATCCCCACCCAGAAACAGAGCTTCCTTCCCCCTCCCTTCCCCTCCCCCCTTGGCTGAGCTCCCCCTCCCCGCCTTCTGACGTCTCCCCTTTCTCCTGGCTGCCGGTGCATCTTTAATGAGGACTAGTTCCTTGGAATGCATGCCACCCTCAGCAGGGAAAGCCAATTCTTCTGCCTGATTATCTATCGATTTCTTGGCCCTGCCTTCATTGCAATGCGGGGGACGTGAACCTGAATTCGTTGACCGTCGTGGAACCCAGGCGGTGGGGTCTACTTCAAAAATGTCAGCAACCGGCTCTCTGCCCGGTTGCTGGGTGGGTGTGGCCATGGTGGGCGTGGCCTAGTCGGCCTCCTGCACCATGGTGTGTGTGGGGGGGCTGTTTTCGCTCTCCCAGACTCCGGAGGCCCTCTAGAGGCTGGAAATGGGCCCAGAACTTCTGGAAGGCCCGTTTCTGCCCACCCTGAACCACCACACAGTCCCTGTACTTACCTGGCATCCAAAATGGGCTGTGGGGGGACCCGGGGAGGGGAGGGTGGGCGGAGCCAGCCAGGAGTGGGATTTAACGGTTCGCTGAACTGGTAATTAAAAATGATAAAATTAGCAACCGGCTCGCTCAAACCGGGGTGAACCGGTAGCAGTCGACTTCTGCCCAGCAGGGTCTCAAAGAAGGGGTTGAGTTGGGGGGTCACACCTCCCTCCCCCTGGGACTAACTTTGAATGTGACTTTCCTGGGGAGCTCTGGGGGTGCCGCCAAGGGCCTGGGGGAAGGAGGAGGAGGAGGAGAGAGAGAGAAATGGGGCTGGGGCCGTTCCTGCAGAGGCATCCGTGCACCCCCGGGCAAGAGAGGACCTGAGAGAAGGGCGACGAGGGGGATTGTGGGATACTGGCCCCATAGACTGGCTGCTTCAAGCGAGGAGTGTAATGGGGGGTCGGTTTGCTCTACTCTCAGTAGATCATGGGGTACACACACACACACACACACACACACACACATCCCCAAGTAAATGATGGACAGGGAGAAATCCTGAATCAGGTCTGAATCTAGAGTTTAAGATTTCATTTAATTAGTTTCCAAAGACTTATATGCTTCCTTTCCTTTTTCTCTCCTTCCTTCCTTCCTTCCTTCCTTCCTTCCTTCCTTCCTTCCTTCCTTCCTTCCTTCCTTCCTTCCTTCCCCTCTTTCCTTTCCTTTCCTTTCCTTTCCTTTTCTCCTTCCTTTCTTTCCCTCTTTCCTTCCCTTCCCTTTCCTCTTTCCTTCTTCCTTCCTTCCTTCCTTCCTTCCTTCCTTCCTTCCTTCCTTCCTTTCCTGCTTCCTTCCCCTCTTTCCTTTCCCCTTTCCTTCTTCCTTCCTTCTTTCCTCTCCTTTCCTTCTTTCCTTTCCTTTCCTTCCCCCCTCCTTCCCTCCCTCCCTTCCTTCCTCCCTCCCACCTTGCTTTAGTTATTCTGGGTTTACACCTGGTGGGAACCCTGGGGGAGGGGCTCCAGAACAGTTGAAGGCCTGGTGACCTGCCGCCCTTGACCTTTGAACCTCTCCTTGCTCTTCCAGGTGGAGCTGACCGGCAGCAGCATCTTCGACTATGTCCACCCAGGAGACCATCTAGAAGTGGCCGATCAGCTGGGACTGAAGGCTCCCCTGGGCCCCGGTCACCCCCAGCGTCCTAAAGCCTCCCTCCTGGGCCCCTCCGCCTCGTCCTCCAGCTTGTCTGAGGGTCCTCAGTCAGGTACACGCACTCTTGGACCCCCCCCCCCAAAGTGACTCCCAAAGCAGGCTCGGAGGCTGTCTGGTCGCCTGTTGAGTCAGGAAGCACTTAGGACATGCTCAGAGGTGCCCTCTTACCTCTGGAGCTTACTTCACAGAATTCCGACAAGCCACGGATTGCCTGGCAGAGCCCAAACCCCCCTGTTGCAGACCCCATAACCTGGTTTGTTGGATGTATCATGTCTGCGTGCCTGAGCCCAGCCGGTTAAAACTTGGCTTGAATAAACCATGGTTTTCTGAGGCATGTCCCAAGCTTGTCCTGATGGGGGTCTGTGCACCCTTTCCTCCCGAGTAAACCTCTTTGCTGAGGTCTGTGGAGGGGTGCGGGGGCTGAGCCAGTTCTGGCCTTTAATTGTATCTGGGCTTGGTGGTGATGAGGGTCTCAGCTTCACCTTTCCTTCTCCCCACCCACCCCCGAACGACGGGCAGGGAGAAAGAACGAGCCCCTCCTTCCCTCCCCTGGGTTGTTGCCGGCCGAGCTTTTATCTGGGGGACTAGTTAAAGATTTATACCAAGACGGCACCTGAAAGAGAATAGCAGATCAGCCGCTGTCAAGGCTGCGTCCTCGAAAGGAAGAGGAGGAGGGGGGGGGGGTCCTCCAGGATTTGGCTGAGGGTCCATCACGTCTTGGTCCCTGGGCCTGACTCGGGCAGCTTTGCCCCTCTGCCCCGAGGCGTCAATGGGGCAGCATTTTCTTTCTTTCTTTCTTTCTTTCTTTCTTTCTTTCTTTCTTTCTTT